ATGAAGATTCGAGAGTGTTAGAGGTCAATTGGATGAAGAAATGAGTCAAAATGATGAAATATAGCCAAAACATTATCACATATCAACTTTCAAGTTGAAAAGTTTTGCATCGGTTTTCAACCTCATATTGAGACCCATTTGTGACATGGTAAACGATCGAATTAGAAGATGATATCTGAATCAAAGTTGTAGCCCTTTGAGTTATATTTCCAACGCATCTTAAATAACTTTAATCAGACATCGGAAAAGAAAGTTATTGTCAAAATACTAAAACTATTCGGTAGGAAAACGTCATAACCATGCGGTCGCATGGTGTTAAACCCATGCGATCGCATGGGCATTTTCAAAGAATTCAAGGAAGCAAAATTTTGTTCCTTGCGACGGCAAAGGATATAACCTTGCGATTGCATGGTTGTTCCGTGATGCCGAATCTCAGGTTTCCTAAATTGACTCAAACTCCTTTGGTAACATATCTTGGACGACTTTTCAACCCTAAAAACACCCCAAAACACACTAGAGCGCCTTCAACCTATTTTCTCTCTATTTTTCTTAGATCTATCATGTGTAACTAACTCTTGGTGCTTGATTGAAGGATATCGAAATCTTGGAATACATTATAATTGTGAGATCCACCTATTTTCATTGTTTAATTTATATTTTCAATATTGAATATTCTTGTATTCATAATTTTATGATTGTCATGTTTGAATTTGTATAAGAAAATGTTTCCCCCCCTCAAATTGTTTAAGTAGTTCAATATGGTATAAGAGGAGACGGGCACATTTGGGACAAAACTTGAAGTATCTGCTTAATACATTTTAAACTTTCAGACCAGCCGACGAACAATGCTTGTCTAGAGCAAATACAACACACATGAAGAAACGACACTTACACAGAGATACACGTATTAAAGTTATAATGAGGTTCTGTATGAAACTGTTGATCCATTGAAGGAAATACAGCTGATTTTCATTACAGAACATAAAAAACAAGAAACACCAAAGCAAAAGATTGAACTATTTCTTGAACCATTCAATAAAAATTTAAGCATAATCATGGAGAAATAGCTAACCTGAAGTGAAGGGCATCCTATGCCAAGATAACGCAATCCCATGTCATTTACTAAACCACACCCCACCATTTCCAACACCTCCAACCTCTCCATTCTTCCGATTGCGCATAGAGACTCACTCGTAACCTTAAACAAACCAAACCACCCACATTTCAATTAACCTTAATAAGAACATAAAAGCAGAAACACATTTTTAAATACACACGTATATCTGTTTAAATAACATAAATGACACCTTCAAGTATGAAATGTCGAGGTGCTTCAATTCAGAGCATTTCTTGGACAGAAGTTCAACCCCAATATCAGTTACTTCAAAACACCACTTCAGACTAAGGCTCTCAAGTTTTGGACAACCTACGATTATTTTAGCCAATCCAACATCAGTAACATACAAGCACTTGTCCAAGTTCAGTTCCCTCAGGCCTGTGAGGCACGACAGCGCCGCCGCCTCCCTGTCACCGAACCCACAGCAGTATGACACATCAACGCTCTCCAAATTTCCAAAGAAACCAACAACCATTTGCAGCCCGGGGAATCTCAACCCGGTGCACCGACTCAGATTCAAACGTCTTATCTTCGCAGCCCAACTGGATGAACCACTATGGATGGAGGAAAGCAAGAGTGGGATCGTAGCATCATCGATGCGGGGGCAGACGGAGAGGTCGAGGGAATTTAGGCAAGGGAATTTCACGACGAGGGTTGAGAGGAACTCGGGGCGGAAGAATCGGAGGTGGGTCCGATGAAGCGAGTCGACCCGGTGGAAGATCTTACAGGTTGAACGGAAGGATTTTCGATCAAAATCATCGTTCAAAAGGGAAAGGATTTTCAAGAGGAGATCGTCTGTGAGAAGAGTGAGAATCAAAGCGGATTCCATCGAATTGAACCCTTAAAATCGGCTTGTAGGTGATAGCGTGAAAGTGACTATAAACCCACAAGTCAAGTCAAGCCTTGCACGGATACAAGAATTCAGGTGAGGGCACAGAGAAAGAGGAAGTGAAGTCGGAGAAGCTGGTGGTGGAGGGTGGCGGAGGAGAGGCGGAGAATGGACGTGAATGTTTTGGATGGGTAGTGCCATATTTTTGTGTTTCAGTGGTGGTGTTCTAGGTTCATGTCGCAGTACAAAACCATGAGAGATGGAGATAAGCAGTTGAACGCGATCTACAGAGTTGAATGATAAGTGATAATATATACAGGGAAGAGCTACTCATATATAAGTACGAGAGAGAAGCATAGATCCAAAGTACATTGAATTTTATTTTATTATGCTAAAAAGTGGACAAGTGGCACGGACACATTATTCTCTTCATATTCGAGTTATTGTCATAAATTATACTGGTTAAGCTTTCATTTGACTCTCATTATTCCAAAAATTTATTATATTCTCTTATTTTCAATTACAAATTTTTTAAAATAATATTACACGTAAATCGAAATTTTTTCCTTCCTTTTTAACCGCACATTTAAAAAAAAAAAAATTATTCCAAAAAATAATTACCATATAATGAGGGCCAAATGGGGGCTAAATATAACATATGAGCTAATAAAGGCATCGTTATAGGAGGATGATGGGCGCTCTATGCAAACACAAAGAACCTCAAGCATCGAATTTACAAGACGAGTGAAGAATAATGGGCACTGCGTGCGAATACAAAATATCTTGAGAGCATCGAATTTACTGACCATGACAAGTGGAGGATGATGAACACTTTGTGCAAACACGAAATATCTCGAGCATCGAATTTAAAGACTATGGCGAGGGGAGGATGATTGTCATTGCGTGCGAATACAAAATATCTCGAGAGAATCGAATTTACAAATCATAACAAGTGGAGGACTATGAGTACTGCACGCAAACATGAAATATCTCGAGAGCATCAAGTTTACAGACTATGACAAGTGAGGATGACGGCCATTGGGTACGAATACAAAATATCTCGAGCATAAAATTTACGAACCATTACAAGTGATTAATACCCTTTTTTTTAAAAATATCTTATGTGTCTAAGGTTAAATGGCTTTTCACTATCTTTTAATCTATGTTTAGTTCATGTTTATAAACGGTCTATAAATACATAAGTAAATTTTTATCTCCAACATTTTCAGATTTTCGAAGTATTATTTAATTATCTATCACTCATTTTTATCTTTTATTAAACATTTTATAAATATTATCCCGATATATTAATATTGTAACATTTTGGTATAGATGATAAAATTTTATAAAAATCGTCTTTTTTGGCGAAGGCCACAAGATGTTGCAAAAATTTACATTATTAATAACATTTTAAAAAATCATTCATAAATAAACATTTATTTGTCCTTTGCTTCTCGTGAGGAAAATAAAAAATAAAACATTCCTTTATTTATTTATTTTTCATATTCCTTCGAACATTAGAATGGTGAAAATCTGGAAAAAAAAATGAAAAAATTAAGTAGCTGAAATGACGATTCGGGCCCTTGGGTAATGCAAATATACGTCATGGATGATGATACATGTATAACCATTTTAAAGGGTATAATTTAATAATATCGGGGGAGTACGATTCGGTCAAAAATTAAGTCAAACTTTTACCACCGTTGATCTTAAACACGAGACAATCCAGTGGAAGCCACGTGGTAGCGCGTGGTCTGCGTACGGGTATGTTGTACGAAAAGTCGTAGGGATTTTTATAAACGAAGACCCTCTAGTGGGTCCCATTACCGTTGAAAAAACCGTACCTATCTATCAGCCGTACGATTTAGCAACTGCTAAAATGAAAACCTAAAGGCTGACGTGGCTTGAAGAAATTGGACCACCTCATTTGTAAAAAAAATTCTCAACTATACAATTTTCCTAAAAAGTAAAGGTAATTATTTTTGAGGTCAACCTTGGACTGAAGTCTCTCAATTGGGTCATTCGAAAAAGTTCCAATCAAATTACCAAATTTAAATTTAATTTCAAATTTTATTCACTCCTTCATTTGCACTTGACAGGACTTGTGAACGTTAAAATTAGACGAAATGCGCCGTAGGACTTACGTGGACCATGGAAATGACACGTAATTGAAATGTTTACATTTAATCATTTATTAAAACATGATTTCTTCAGCGTAAAATATCATTTACATATGTTCCAACTATATATTTGAATGATTACATCTAGTTGAACCCCATCCTATATGTTATTCCATCTAATTTTGCCGTGCACGAGTGCAAATCCTTTCGATTGCGTGACGGGGATTTAATAGAGTGATTGAATTTGAAATTAAATTAGAATTTGTGACTCGATTGAGACTTTCTTGAAATTGGGCGACTTAATTAAGGCATTGCTCAAAGTTAGACGATCTCCAATATAATGTACCCAAAAAATGATGAAAAACCAAGTCATGAATTTGAATATTTCAAAGATTCTAAATAAAATGTATATGATACGATGTTACGATAAAATTACTTGCACTGCTCCCAGAGTCATGGAATGGCATGACATAAAAGTAAACTTGTAAAATATGGTCTTGTATTTTATGGATGAAACATTTCTTGGGATATCCTCAAGAGGCTATTTAAAAGTACAATGTTCTCTATTTCAAAAAATCAATCCTTAAAACTAACTTCAAGGGACTCTTCAAATCAATATTACAAAATAGAGAGTAGATTTGACTCTCAAAATTTCGAGAGTCAAACTCACTCTTTATAATTATATGTGCAACGATTATGAAACAAACATACGTGCCTTCCTAGCGGCGCAAGGCGTTTTTGCTACTTCGATAAACATATTACCTACAAAATGAGGTTGGAACTTCCTTCCCCATTGTAAATCTGCCGTGAGAGTTAGTTGAGGATTCGTGAATGTAAACTTAGGAAGGAAAGATAAAATGTGAATTCAGATGGCCGAAATTTTTTAGATCCATACCGTCTCGCCTTAGGAGTATTTATAAGTAACTGGAGCCATGTAACTATTGGGTGGTTATTGTGCCACGTATCCTAGGTAGAATCTCCCACCACCCCCCACGTTCTGAGTGGAGGACATCGATCTATCCAGCGGTTAGTTGTGTCCATGATAACCGTTAAACGGTTCCCACCCAAGTCATGACTATTTCTATGGTTAAGTGTTGTGGTGGCCCTTGTAAGGGTAGATGGTCCTTCACGGGATGCTCTACGTAGAGAGCCTATTGAATAGTCTTCAACATGTTGACCGTTATAGCCAATTATTGATGCCATCTAATATCACTAGCCCCTACCCCTTGTCGAAGTTTATCGATAAGGGGTAGAATCTGTAAAAAAAAATTAAATTGACTTGTTATATATTGACATTTGGTATAACTTAAGTGGGCCATATAGTCTAAGTGGGCATAGGGTAATGGAAATATTGTACAAATGGCACCTCATGTGTGGGTTTGCTCTTAGGAGAAATTTCCCCTAAAAAAATTCAAAATTTTCACCTATATTAAGAGGTGAAAACTTCCCTTCTACCATCACTTTTCTACTTGCAGAAACTTCATCTCCTCCACACTCTCAAGGTAACTTCTTCCTCTACTCCCCCATCATCCTAGCTTTTTTATTTTTACTTGTCTTTTCTTGTATTATGTATAAAACCATCCTAACCTCTTTGTTTTATGAAAGTGAACGTGAAGGGAAAAGCAAATTGACCGACCCATCGTCAGATGGTCTGTCGATGCCTTTCTGTCAACCACAAGGCTAGTGACATCCATTGACCAGCATAGCTAGTTGTTTGTCGACCATCCCCGCAAATACCCCCAACCCCATTCCCCATGGTGTTGGTCAGCCGAACTTCATGTCTCCCTACCAAGCTCTCCAAAAAAAATATTGGCTCAACTAAGTTTTCAAACCAAAACTTGGAAATCGGATGGGATTCGGTAAGCGAGGTGGCTATTCTTGAGATTCCAAAATGCTATAGCCTTTATAATTCACCGGACCTGACCTTCCGAGATTGTCGTGTATAAGGAAACTATGGATGGTGGCTTTCGATTCCCCATTCATCCCTTCTTCATTTCAATTTCTAATAATTCCACATCACTCCTAGTCAAATAAACCCTAACGCATTGAGGAAAGCTCTATATTTCTTTTACATCTGCCTTAGCAAGAAATCCCGCTCTCGGTAGACCTCTTTAGATTAGTCTTTGAGATATATGAGCTATCTCAATACAATACTTTCGTCTTCTTCACTTCTAGAGTCCCCTTGCGCTTTTCCAAATTTAGAAACTCAAACAACGGGTGAAAATCTCGGTTCTTCTTTGTTCTACCTTCTGATGATCAATTTATTTTCAACACCAGGTGGAGATATCCTAAAATTCGCCTCTTCAATAGTCCGATTCAGATTACTTCTCCTTTAATATCACAAATCTAGTAAGCACCAATATACCACATCTTGCTCTTGACATAGGGTCAATTTTGACCATGAGGAATATGTTGATAGTGGGGATCGATCGTCCTATTAGTAGGTCTTCTCATCCTGCTTATTCCTTTACACTTGCACATACTTTTATTCATTATTTTTCGAGCCTGATGAACTCAACTATGTGCATGCAGATATGGACTTTGACTTGGATGAGGTCACTTGGATGAGGTCATAAGGTCCCTGCCGCGTCGGAGAGCGACGAGGGATTTATCCCTGTTGATGGTAGGGTTTCGCATATTTTGCTCTTGACTTTGTGTTTATGTGTATCTTCGTTTGTTGTTCTGAGAGTTTGATGAATTTTACTTTGCGTATACATGTATAGAATTTGACCTGACGGAGACCATGGACCCATTGCCCGAGCGCGGGCATGAGAGTGATGATAACCCAACACCCGTCCCATTGAAAAGAAAGAAAACTGTAAATGGATGACAAAGTGTTGTACAGCTAAAGAGACATCACAACCCTTGGACGAGCCCCTC